CTTTTTGAGATTCTGGTTAGATCCATAAGGCATTTTTATTGGGTTATTTGCTTTGTTTGTATTGTAATTTTGGATTCTTTATGTTGTAGAACATAATTACCCCTCAGATGACAGGAGCAACATTCTCATAGACCAACAGCAGCTATAGTTACCTGCCCAAGGCCTGCAGAATTCAAACACAAATCTTGATGGGGATCATAAGACCAATAACTGAGGATTCATTGACATAGGGTGTGAGAGGAAGAATGTCATTCAATTCCCAGTAGATCTTCCCACTCTGTGTACATGCAGGCAGTACTAAAGAGAAGTAGTGGGCCTATGAAGAAGAATATATGCTATTAGGAAGGAAAAAATAGTCAGGGAAAATGGTAAAAGTTAAAGATGAGGATGTGGGGATGGGTTTAATTGAAATATATTTATATTTATATATTTATGCACGTGTAAATCTCCTTGTTTACTATATGCTTTCATGTTAAATCTCCATCATTTTTGGTGATCATCTCTTTATTATTAATTTATTCATTCCTGTTTTAGTCTGCAATGCTTAATTTTCTATGTTAAGATACTATAAAGAAGCATTTTTAAGTGCAGTAAAATTATATCCAATTAGTATGAATGGAGATTATAGTAGGATACTACATATGAACGAGTTTAAAAGAAAGAATTACACAGAAATGTATAGGATACATATTTTTATTGAGTATCAGGGTTTCTCTGAAGAAAGCAGGCTCACAAGCAGCTGGGCACAAGTAGGATGTGCAATCTCACCAAGCAGTCTCAGATGTACTGCTTCAGTGGATAATGTGTCTATCTGTGGTTTAAAGGGATGATCTGGAGTTATAAGTATAGGATAATAATTTACAGTATTGTGTTCATTGTATGTATGGAGAAATGTTTTAAAGAATTGTCTCCACATGCCAGAACCAATCCGTTTAGCAGTTACACATACATACACACACACACACACACACACACACACACACACACACACACACACACGTACACATGCAAAGGCTGACTTTTTGTGTCAATAGTTTGTGGATACTTGAAAAGTTTATCTCAGAAAGTAGAGCACAGGTTCCAGATTCAAATACAACTCATTTCTGTTAGCTAAGAGAGAAAAAAATAGTATGTAGGATGAATACAGCAATGGATAGGTTGGTGATCTGAGATAAGAATAAAAGAACATGCCTTCTTCTTCCTAAGGACTGTTATTATTTCAACAGAGAGACACACTATATGACTATCGGAGGGAAACAGGGTTTATAACATTTTTGGGGAAAAAAGAGAGAAGCAGGTGCAACATAATTATGCTGATGTTTAAAACCAGAGTCAACAAGGAGTTAGCTACAGCATGTTTGCCATCTCGGCGGCACGTAGCCAGAGTTTAATAACAGCATGATTGCCATCTCATGGCATGCCAATGTGAGTTTTAGGGTTACAATTTAAAAGAAATGAGTACTTAGGACTTGAAATAATTTTCTTGACTAGTTCTGAACTTCAAACTCCCCCTCTGTTTTTATTTAGGTTTTACACACCTTACACTAAATAATGCATTAAATATTGTTCAATGTTTTCCTCATAGCTTCTAGAATCAAATGTTCGCCAATCTGAGAACACGGCTCAGACATTTTCAGTACATGTTATTCCAAATACTTCAAGTCATTCTAAAAATGTTATCCTAGCTCATTTTATTCATTAAGTATGTCACTAAATCATTGAATTCGCCTAGTCTTATCTACAACACCTTCTTTGTATGAATTAATTCAATACCAAAATAGACTAAGTTTTTCTTTCCTATCTCTGTTACATTTCCTGTGCTGTTGTGAAATGACTCTTAAACTCTACTTTACAGACTATCACACCCGTGCTGAAAACTGTGACTTACTGTGATCCTGGAAAGTTCTGAATACTCAAAGCTTCCGCTTAACCATAGAAAACAGGTTCATGCACAAATGCTCTTTAGGATGGGCTGTGCACTAAATGAGTCATCTTGGGTTGATGTAACTGGAGGTTTCTCTCACCTGACAGTTCTCAAATAACCACTATGGGGCTTAATATTAACTACAAATGACTTTTCCTATTAGCTAAAATTTATTATTAGCTAGTTCTTATTACTTAAATTATTCCATTTCTATTATTCAATATTTTACCATGAAACCCGTGACTTGTCATCTCACATCTTGCTTCTCCAGTGACTACTGGTGTCTCCCAGACTCTGCCTTCTTTTCTCCCATCTCTCCTGGGACTTCCCTTCTAGTTACATTCTGCCCTGCAATATGCCAAAGTAGTTTCTTTATTAACCAAAGGTAAAAAGACATGCTCACAGCATACAGAAGGACATCCCACATTAAGTTGGAAATATTGTTAAGCAACCAATGTTATTATAAAATTGGAACCAAAGCAGTCAGAGAAAGGCAGGATGATAAGTCAATGACATGATTCATCGTAATACTCTGTTCTACTCATTGACCTTAGCCTAGCTTAATCATCATCAGAGAGTTTTCTACAACCACTGAAACTGAAGGCAGCAGATGTAGATACCCACAGTCAAGCGTTAGGTGGAATTCAGGGACTCCTAAGAGGTAGGTATAGGATGGAACCAGAGGAAGAGAGGGCACCACATGAACAAGACACAAAGATTCAACTAACCATGGCCCACAGGGGCTCACAGAAACTGAACTAACAGTCAGGAAACCTGAGCTAGGTCCTTGGCACATATGTTAGTTTTTGTAGTTTGGGGTTTTGTGGAAATCCGAAAAGTGGGAGCAGGGGTTGTCTATGCCTCTTTTGCCTGTTCTTAGGACCCCCAACTAACCTTGATATGAGTATGTTTCCTTAGTTTTATTGTATCTTGATATACCATGTTAGGTTGGTTTTGCAGAAAGCCTGCTCTTTTCTGAATGGAAATGGAGACATGAATCTGGTTAAGGGGCGTTCAGGGACTGGAAGGAGTGGAGGGATGGCAGACTTTGGTCAGACTGTAATAATATAAAGAATTAATAAAATAAAATATAAATATATTTCCAAAAGAAAAATATATAATTAAAAATATAATGACTTTTTAAATATAAAGAGGTTTCTTCAATAAAACATGAATCAGATATGGAGGACATGTGGATTTGCACTTCATGCCTTTGAAAGCAAATGGTTTAAAGTGAGAATGGTTGTACTGAAAGGATAAAAGAAGAAAAATTGGATAACAGCTAAGTATGCTATTGGCAGCTAAGGAATCCTATTATAAGTAAAATAATATTTAAATCTTCTAATCATTTAACTACTGGAATGTCTTAATACTATCAGAAAGCTCTTCTTATCTCTCAAATGCCTTCACATTTGCTATGAATTTGTAAGAGCATTAAGGCTTCACTATCACCATAATTAGATGGACTAAAAAAATAGTACCTCCTTATGTTGCCAAGTCCTGATTATTCAGAGTGATGGCAGGAAGCCTCAGCGTGGATTACTAAAACCTGAGGTCACTCATAGCAGATGAAAATTACCCAGAGCTCATTATGTCTCTCCCACTGAAATAAAAATGCCTCTATGAGCTTCAACAAAACTGCATTGATAGTTTAATAAACATTCTTCACCCTATGTAGAGAATCTTGAAAATGGAAAACATAAAATAAAATATATTAGCTACAAGTAAAATAAGCCAGTTATTCAAAGCCTCAGCTGCTTAATATTGACCAAAGTCTGAGGAATATTGATATTGGGTTTATAAGTCATTGATGGGGGAAGGAATACATGAACTCTGATGTCATTCACACGGTAAAAGATCCACTTCATGAAAACAAGCTTACATTACCAAAGAAGTTAAAACAAATATCAGAAAATGATTTCTATTTGATTTTATGTAATGTAGTAGTAATCTTCAGGCTGTATCACCAATTTATTTAAGTATCCCTTGCACTTTCTGACACCCGTCTTGATGAAACACAGAAAATTTCTCTGCAGATAAAACTGAGTAGAAAGACTTGCATTCCATTTTTATAATTATTACGAATTTTGTAGTGTGATGGTATTTATTGTATCAGATACCTAAATTCCAAGTTAGTGCCTCAAAACACATTTTTAAAATACAATAAAATGCCAAAAATATAGAGGCTCTTGAAGCTTCTATATTGTATGGATAATATTCCAGATAATCATACATTATCATGAAACTTGAGAAACTTTTAGTATATGCTCATTAACCAAGTTTTCAAACATGGTGTGTATTTGTATGTGGAGCATGCATATGTGTGTGTTTGTGTGTCTGTTTATGTATGGACCCATTCTTGTGTTTGTGTCCCTGAATATGGAGGCCCAAGGTGGAAGTATCCTATCTATCTTATTTACTTTCTGTCTTGTATGTTAAAGACACGCTCCTTGCTGAATTCAGAGCTCACAGTTGTGGCTAGTCTAGCTACCAAGTTTGCTCTGAGTTTTGCCCATATTGCCTCAAAGTCGCTAGGATTACCAGCATGGCACGAAGCCCACCCAGCACATCAGTGTTTTGTGGAAACCCTGACTACAGTCTTCATGCCTATATAACAATTCCCTACTGCTGTGCCAGTTTCCTAGCTATTCATTTACAAATTTAATAAGAAAAGTTGGAAACTGTTATTTGCCATACCAGTCTAAAATTATATATAAAATTGCATTTCTTTAATATGATTTCTCTAATAAAGAGTAACAACTTAACCTGTTGGACTGCTTCTATTGTAAACACATACAAGTATGTGTCTTTTATAAAACAAAAAAAAATGTCTTTCAAGCTCCAGTAGCATAGAAATATTAAATTATGTGCATTCCATGCATGTTAATTTGAACATTTGATTATCTGGATGGTCTGCTATGTGTGATCAGGGAGCTTCTGGAAAATTCTTGAAAGTGGCGCAAAGATTGCCTTCTCTGTAGCTTGTGTATATGCTCGTCAGAATAATTACCTTAGTCACAAGCAAGCACTACCTCTGTTCCCAGGAAAAAGCTTAGTCTCTCGTTTCTCTTGACAGTGTGCAGACCTGGGTTCTTCAAAGCCTCTCCTCACAGCCAGAGCTGCAGCAAATGTCCACCTCACAGTTACACCCATGAGGAAGCTTCCACCTCTTGTGTCTGTGAAAAGGATTATTTCAGGAGGGAATCTGATCCGCCCACAATGGCATGCACAAGTAAGGAACCCCGTGGCTATTTGGTGATGGTCCCTTTCACCAGTTTGTAGAAACGGCATAAAGGAGCCTGTTGTGTTTTGTGAACAGGCCCCTCTAAAGCAGGCATGTTTCCCATTCACAGTGCAGGTCCTTTTCCACGTTTTAAATTCCTTGGGTAAGCACTGAAAAATAAATGTCCTCTTATGACAGGCTGTCAGAAGTATCCTTTCCTCTCACTTCAAATTCAACATCCGAGGCACTAATAAATGATTCCTTTTATTTTGTGGTTTAATTTAGTATACTTGACTTCAGCCCATCTTTTTGTCTTTTCACATCAGATTTGTTATATAATTCTTTTGAAGACAGCTTTCTGAACTTATAATTACACAGCAAATCACAGCTTCAACAAGTTCTACATGATTAAGCTGTGGGGCTATCCAGACAGAGGTCATTTGCCAAAATATGAAGGCACGGTCCGAGAGCTTGACAGCCAAGCTGGCAGATTAGAACATTATTTAAAGCCCAGCTTTCAATCTAGGTTTTCATGCAACCACAATGTGTCTTTTTAGTTAGAGTTACTGACCATTATAAAAGCTTTGTGTGAGATCAAATAATCAGTGTAGATAGATATTAGGTACTGTTCTCGGTATTTCTAGTACATAAATGCACATCTAGCCAAATTATATATTTTTAATTTCAATATATTTTTGGAAACCTAATGTGACTATTTACACACTTAAAGATGGTTTGCTAACAAGCTTCCCCATCATTTACTTGCTTGGTGACTATACTTGGAGATATTTTTCACTAGCAAAGTGTCTATAATAAATGGGAAAAAGTAAATATTAAGAAGAAAAGTGAATATATCTTTCTTCACAATGTGTACCACTCATGGCTTACCTTCACTTTATTTTTTAGTTGCCAGTTAACTGTATGCACACTCAATAATGTTCATGAGACTATAAATTTCCCATTGATCTATAGACAGAAAATAGTATTGATGACATTATGCAAAATAATCACAAGTGGATTTTAAACAAATTTCAGTGGCTGAGTTTCATGTATGCCTGAAAAATCACACTTTGCAAACCAAGGGTAATAATTTTGTTGACCAAATGATTACTAGCAACAAAATACCTTCGCAATAAGTTAGAGTATTATACATATTTTTGTAGTGATAGTTTTCTAGAATGATAAAATATTTTGTTACAGTGGTATTCAAACAGTGTTTAATAGGTGAGATGTAAGTTGTATCAAACAATACCAAATGTATCAGAGGAACACACTAAAAATATGGCACCGGATTGTTTCGTAAATTTCACAGAGTTATGTATTTGTAGATGTATTTAACTGATTCAGCCATAGTTTACATTTTTAGCATAAAAATGGATGTACATTTCTGTTTCTTATTTTTGGACTCAAAGGGAAGACTTTGATTTGGTGGTAAGAATTGCTTAACTCTCCTTTGGAATTAAAGTACACAGATTTCACATTTTCTCCATCTTCAGCTCTGTGGGTTTCTACTATTGTATTCAAAGGAATAACTGATAGTCGTTTTTACTAGTACCACTTTGAGTGTGTGTGTCTGTTTTCAGTTGTATTCAGAGTACCACAGCCTCTCATGATTCCCTCATGACTTGCCTGAGTTTCAGAAGATCCTGAACTTTGTTCTGTCATTGACATTTTGAACTTAAATATTTATTATTTTGATTCCTTTTTATATATAAATTCTGAGAACAGAGTTTTAGAAATCTATCGAACAAAACCAAGCAGAAAAAAAAGCCAAGAATCTGATGAATATACTTAAACCAGGAATCGTTCTTCTACTATACCATGGTCCACACATCTTATCGACTGTTGAGGCTGTTCTGTGTTTTAGATGTAGACTAAGTTGAATGCTTTAATTTTACTACTACTTCATAATATCACTTGAACTTTGTTTTCTTGGTAATGTGTGACCTACAGCTGTGGATGTGTTATTACCAGAGTCTTAAGTAAAAGAAGCCAGCCAGGTGCACTTTTGTTGATTTAGAACAAAGAAATAAATGCAAGTAGAATTCAGTTGGTAGCAATAAATTGGAATTTGACATGCCTCAGGTCTGTTTCCTCTTCTTTCTCAAATGTTAAGCCCATTATTTTTTGTTACCTGAAATTGTGCTATCTTTAAATTTTTCCATTAAATAATTCAAAGTTTGTAATAAATAATAATACTTTTATTCATATCTCTAAATATATTTGTGGATAAAAAGTGGCTGTTGAAATAGACATGTGGAAGAATGAATGCATATAATACTTCCTAAGGTTTTGTGATGGGCATTTTGAGTAATGCTTGAGGGAAGCAAGCTAAGACCTTAGATCCAGAGTTGTTCCATTTAAATGTAGTTGTAAAACTGTCCGAAACACTAGTTTTCTTCCCAAATTACCTTTAAATATATTCATCAAAGATGGTGGAGTTATGTAAGGTTGAAATAAAAATTGAGACTTACATTTGGAACACACATATTAGGCTGACTTAGCAAGATTAATTCATGTTTATAATTCATTCAAATAAAAGAAGACTATTTCACCACTATTAGGGAGAGGAACTGATGAGATCTATGACTGGCAGAGTTACTCACTTTGATACTTAGACAAAGACTAAGTCTCAAACAAACATAAGGGCAAGCTTGTTTGAGAACACATGATCACATAACATTTAAAGCTGACTGAAATTTAAATATTTAAACATTTAAAATTTTAACTTATAGAAATTTAGTTTGTTACCTCTTTGTACATGAATAATTAGGTTCTGAAATAGATAGAATGATACTGACTTGTTATCATTTAGATGAGAAAGCTTTTAAGCAATCAAATCTGTCCATGTATAAAAATGAAATGTGTGATAAAAACTACATGAAATTAGAAAAGCTGTCACAGTATTAGTCTAAGATGATGTGTCTATTAACGTATTTTAATTGCATGATTTTTTTTCTTATTGCGGTAAACGACAAGATCGAAAATATTCCATAACACCGAACACTTTGTACTCATTTGCATCATCTTTACTAGAATTTCCAACCCCAGTTAAAACTCTGATGTTGAATTGCTGTGAGTGAAAGAGCCTAGTTTATAAACAGTGGTCTTGACCATCCGCTTTTTTCCTGAGCTGTGTTCTCTCAGGAGAGCGTCAAATTCTGTTCAATTTCTATGCATCCGATTTCTTTCTTGTAGAATCTATTGTCAAGAGCCATCTAGAAAAGTTCTCTATTTACCAATACTGTTGTTTAACAGAGAATTCATAATTACTTCCAACTTTCAATGAGAAAGCATGTTATTCAATGTACAAAGACTTGGATTTTTTGTGCATTTTAGTTTAGAAAGCTTTTAAGTAAACATATTTACTATGTTTTTAAGCATAAACATTTACGTAACATTTCTGTAAATACATAGCTTTATTCCATAATTATGAACATATAGTTTAATAAAAACATCTGATTCTATTAAATAAGTTTTTAACAGACCAAAATAAATGATGATTTTTATGTTGCATAAACAACACCATTTTCCTAAAATTTTAATTTAAAAAAAATTATAAAATATGACATAAATATTAATTATAAATTTAGTTTTCTCCGGGCCAGGAATTAGTATGATAAAGGACACTAAATAATATCATCTTAAATATGTTTTCTTACTTTACTTTGCAAACCAGGACCCCCCTCAGCTCCTCGGAATGCCATCTCAAATGTTAATGAAACTAGTGTCTTTCTGGAGTGGATTCCGCCTGCTGACACTGGTGGACGGAAAGATGTGTCATATTATATTGCATGCAAGAAGTGCAACTCCCATGCAGGTGTGTGTGAGGAGTGTGGAGATCATGTCAGGTACCTCCCCCAGCAAATCGGCTTGAAAAATACCTCTGTCATGATGGTGGACCTACTTGCTCACACAAACTATACCTTTGAAATTGGGGCAGTGAATGGAGTTTCCGACATGAGCCCAGAGACCCAGCAGTATGTGTCTGTAAATGTAACCACGAATCAAGCAGGTAAGTGTCATGTCCAACCCAACTATATGTTTTAGACTTAGTTCTGACAATTGCATCCACAGCCAAGACTTCACAGATGCGGTCCTATGAGAGAGTGTCCTCAGCATGCAGAAGGTTAAGACTTAAAAGAAACTATATCTCAAAGTATATTTTACCTTAAAGAGAACATTTTTTTTAGTCAAACATCCATTGACAAAAGACAAGAGGGATATGTTTTAATGAATTATTTCGTTAAACATACATTTCTAAAGTAATTCCTTTAATACCTACTAATTGTCATTTATATGATATATATATATATATATATAGTATGTTTTATGTTTCAAATCTACATTTTGTTGCTTTGTTAATGTCAAGAGTTTTTTTTAAATTAGTTTGCATAGTATACTTTATTTGTTGTTGTTTTTTTCCTGTTTACAGCATAGCAACGTTTTCTTTACAAGCTATAATGGTCGTTGCTTTATTTTTTCAATTTTATTCAAATATACATCAATTTTTTTGTCAAATCCACTTATAAAAATAGAATAATTGTTAGGTGCTGTAAAAACTCAAAACACACTTATTTTCAAGTTGCAATCTTGGAATTATAAAAAAGTCAATGTTGAAGAGGCAGATACAGAGACCTGTTTGAGCTGAAGATTCCTTTGTACTTCTGTGTGTGATCTCTTTTACACTAACCAGCATGGAATTCTGTGCTGAACTTCAATTCACTGGGTGATCAAAAATCTCTCAGTATAAGAAAGCATTGAAATCTGCCCCTCGGCTGGCACATGACTGCAGTCATATTAACCATCACAAGGATTCAGTAATGTGAACTGTCATCTGAATTTGGATAAATACAACTATAATGCTATAGCCTCAGGCTTTTGAGGTTAAAATATTTAACTCTCAACCATATATGATTCTAAAATGAGCTACACAATGTCAGTTTGTAAATAATAAGAACTTACTAAGATATTCTTCCTTGGGAGAAAATTTAGTGGTTTGCATTGTC